GAAGCCATGACGAGTTGGCCTTCGTCATCGTAGTCGAGAGACAGTACATGAGGCTGTGGACGACTGTCCTTGATATCATCACGCCGGAAGAGCTACACACAGCGTTAGACGGTTAGCCCACCAATAAAGCGTACGGTAGGGTTATGTAGGTTTCATGCCTTGGTAGGACGAAAGCTGCCTATGACATCGGACATATTAGACACGGAGGCGGTGGTGCCAATGGTGCGGTGGATGTTAAGCGATGCGCCATTTGGTGTATTGGACCTATCTATATCCATCGGCGTTGATGACATTGTAGACAGAGAAGCGAGGTAAAAGCTCGAGAAGCAATGGCGAAGTGATAAATGTGGTAGGTCTGGAACAAAGCACACGCGATCGTGTTGAAAGAGAGAGTCAATTGTACGAGTCGCAAAGGGTCGCAGTCACTCTAGATCCAGATCAATCCAGTCGCGACAGTGGCAGGATTGAATAATTCTCACAATAGGAAGATTCAAGTAGTTGTGGTGGATGTTTTTGTTGATACTGATGTCTTGGTTAGGTTTTCGACTTCTGCCGTGTTTTGTCATGGAGCTCCTTGAGCTGGAGGGGTGTAATCTTGCGGGGTGCGCCATGACGGGAGCCACAAGGTATCTACCTACGTACCGGTACCCGGAAAGGTCCATGGCCAACATGAAGTCGGGGATTTTTTTTTACTGACCCAGGGTATCATCATCCTCGTCTTATTCAGTAGGGCAGGCTCTGTAACTCAGACTGATTATTGCTATCTTCGACATTCGCCATGGCTTCTTGTGGTGGATTTTGAGACTTGGTATTCAGATCCTATGTATACCTACGTTCCCCACGCGGATATGAATCCATTATGTAGGTACTAACTTACCTAACGCTCGGTATAATTAAAATCGGAGGCGGCATACAAACGCCCGAGCCGCAACAAGCCGCTCAGAGCGAACAGAATCGCCGGCCCAGCAGCTAAGTTAGCTGCCCTGTTAGCCTGTCTAGGTACTGTCTTTCCCTTTGACCCTAGCGCCATATCAGTAAATCACCACGCAGACGAATCAGATTCCTTCGTCGTCCTCCATCTCCAGGGGCTGCACAGCGGTCCAGCGGCCCTGACGCAAGGACTCGCAGCCGTCCCCGCGAAAAAGGACCGCCGACGTCGGCATATGAAATGCATCCAGCGCAAAAAAAATATGAAAAAGTATTAAACGGCGAAGAGATGGGAGACATGGATGTGATCGTGTGAGGTACTAGACTATACGGATAGTACAGGCCCGGAAATACCCTCAGGAACAGTCTTGAGGTATCACTGACCTTGATGACAGGCGGCTTATCAACTTTGTCAGCCGCTGACAGAAGACGCAATTTACACTTGTAGGGTCAAGCAGCAGTACCCAATAATTTATATATCTTGAGCCCCATTCAGGTTTCCATGTTCTCTTGATCCATAATGTGGAAAGCTTGTACCTTTTTGGTGTAATTGCGCTGCAGGCGGTACCTCAGCGCTGACCATTTCTCGTGCTGCCATAGGGTCCGAAGCCGCTGGTAACGGCAACGGGTGTGAAACCCTTCTTTTCCACGTTCCCAAATCTTCTTCTTAAACCTTACTCAGGTAACTAACTTTGTTTCTTCTGCATCATTTCGGTTTCTTCGGGTCGCCGATTGAAGAGGACAGCTCTCGCGCCCGAGCTCACCCCCATAGGGATCTGGTGCCCTCGCCCAATCTCTCCTTGCACCCAATATTGCTCTAGCAACTGTCGGCCGCTTCCTCGCGTTTGGAGAGATCGGGTCATGTCGACCACTGTTGGGTAAGCCTTCTGGCCATTGAGTGCTTCATGAATCGATCATCTAGATGAATCCATGGGGTTTCGTTCGCCCCCAAGTTTTTGTGCTGACTTGGTGAATAGCGCCTTCATTGCTGGCGGCATTGCCGCCTGCGGTGCCGTTACTGCAACACATCCTTTTGAGACGGTCAAAATCCGGTATGTTCTGGGGTTTTTGGCACGCGGTATTGTCCCAGTAAATGCTGACTAGATTCCTGTATAGTATGCAGTTGCAAGGCGAGCTTCAGAACAAGGGCCATCAACCTCACCATTACAGAGGACCGATCCATGGTGTGAGCGTCATTGTGCGCAACGAAGGTGTCCGTAATATCTACCGCGGAATTGGCGCGGCCTATATCTACCAAGTTCTTCTCAATGGGTGCCGTCTCGGCTTCTACGACCCTATGCGCAATGCGCTCGCGAGCTTCTTCCTCAAGGACGGAAAGGCCCAAAATTTGGGTATCAACATGTTCTGCGGTGCAGCCTCGGGCGTCATCGGCGCCGCCGCCGGAAGCCCCTTCTTCCTTGTCAAGACCCGATTACAGAGTTTCTCGGCGTTCCGACCCGTTGGTACACAGCACCACTACCGGGGCGCGTGGCACGGCTTCAAGTCCATCTATGGAACTGAGGGTATCAGTGGTCTCTACCGTGGTGTGCAGGCTGCCATGATCAGGACTGCTTTTGGCAGCTCTGTTCAGCTTCCCACATATTTCTTCGCGAAGCGTCGCCTGGTTCGTCATTTTGATATGGAAGAGGGCCCTGGTCTGCACTTGGCCTCCAGTGCTATCAGTGGATTCGTTGTCTGCTGCGTGATGCATCCTCCTGGTGAGTCCTGCACTTGAACCAAAGCTAAGTTTAGCGGCTGACATTCACGTCTCAGACACCATCATGTCCCGTATGTACAACCAGAACGGCAATCTTTACAGCAGCGTTGCCGATTGTCTCTCCAAAACCATTCGTTCAGAGGGTCTCTTTGCTCTGTACAAGGGATTCTTCCCTCATCTTGCCCGAATTCTACCTCACACCATCCTCACTCTGAGCTTAGCTGAGCAGACCAATAAGCTGGTCCGCAAGATCGAGGATCGCATTCTCCCCGGAAGATTGGAGATGGCGACTTGAGGTGGTAGGATTATTAGAAGAGGTCAACAATGAACGGGTGGCATAGTGATTAGCGAACATCGATCTAGAGCAAAACTGCTCTTGTATATGACGAAAAGGAAAGGAAGATTTCAAGTCCTCAATTATATGATTATCTAGCAGGACAACAGGAGCATTTGGCACCGCCTGTGTCATGGGTTTGGCAATCAAACGGTGGCGTGGCGCATTTGAGGAGTTTTTAGTCATGATAAATACTGTTTTATACCAGAATATAAATATGAGTGTTCAGGTTCTTGTACGAATGATGCTCTACCCATGAATTGACCGCTTGCAGCCATAACATAGCCGGCCTGCACCGGCTGCCCCCGGCCCGTTCCCGGCATCATCGCCTATCTCTCCGGCCCATCGCGAATCTCCCTCGGCATCAACTGACATTCCGCAGCTTCCGCAGAAGCTCTTTCCAGGAACTCGGTCAAGCTTTGTAGTTGTGCGCACCACGTTGGCAACGATTCCAGCATATCCCTCCTCTACACTATCAAAGTACCGTGTCATGACCTCCTCGATGCTCAGGTCCTTGTGTGAAACAACACTGTTTCTAACCTTGGCACCTGCTTGGTTGACGGGAACAACCTCCTTTAATGAGGGAACAAGGTCGATGTACTGGACCAGCTCGTTGCGAAAGATCTCGCGTAGGGGATAGTAGACCGGGAATTCTAGTCGACCGGTCTCCTGGGTGGCGGTGCCCTCGACTGCCTCGTATGTGCATACAGTTGTCATACCGTCAGCAACCTGTAACGGAACTGCAAACCCTCTACCGTTGGCGACCTCTGATAGGGTCAAGGCTGCGAGTGCTGTTGTGCTGTGGCCGAGGAGAAGCGCTGAGCATGAGTGCTCCTGGGCTTTCTGGAGAAGAAGGTGACGAATAAGCTGACGGAGAAGATCTGTTCGCGATGTCAATGTTGGTAAAGCATTGAAAAGTCGTTGAAGGCGAGCGTTTGGATCATCATCTGGTGTGACAGCGTCGAGGGGTAGAGTTGACCAGTCGATGCTCTTCACGAGGAGGACGTCCTTCAGAGGAACACACTCGAACATAGCATTTGGCAATACACGACGGTACTCGTCCAGCAGCTTCTTAGCAGTAGATTCTCCCTCGATATATGATAACTCAGTATCGATATGAATGATCACAGCCTCAAATGGTGAAGATGCCTTGTTCTCCGAGTGGTGGCGGGCCTGCTCGCTGAGTAACTGGGCCAGGACGCTAGATGAAGGTCCAAAAGACAAGCCAGCCAGGTATCTCCGAGTGGTAAGCTTCTTTGAAGAGCGAATGTCTTTGTGAAGTGCGCCGAGACGCCTGTTTAGTTTGTAAGCGACATATTGGACGTAACAATCACTGAATCGCATTAGCATGAGGGGCAAAACGATCAAGTTCCGCGAGAGAATGATGATAACTCACCGGCACGTTGGGTCTGTCCGCAGGAGGAAAGCAGCATCTTCGGCCTTGCACCGCTTACAAGGCCGGCTGGTGTCCGGGGAAGGCATCTGAGTTGGGCGTGGGCGTGGAGATGTTTACAAACGGAGTTGGAGTTGAGTTTTCGTGTGACCTATATAGGGTAACCGCCGTTGGGAGTCAGGTAAGGAACACTGATGGCAGTTTTGATTGTTTTCAAGTGCCAGTGTTTTTGGATCCGAAGTGAGACTCTGCCAGATGCCGAGAGATGGGTCCGTACGAGTCGATCGATAGGTGAGTTAGGTGCCGATTGTGTGGTAAGGTAGAGTTGAGTAGACTGAAAAGTTGAAATTTTCGCCGCCTCCCACCGATCAGTCATACAACAATCACGAAAGCCAACTTTACAACAAACCCATAGCAATGTCATGGTGAGCAGTTAAACTAAGTTCTCCAAATTCAGAGATAATCATGGTGGTGTTTCCGTGTCATTATCTATACCTTGTCAATTCACTTCCATACACTTGAACTTCAAATGCAGTCCAAAACCTTGACGCACATTTTGTTTACACGACTCCTAGCACCGCTTATACTGATGGTTCCCTGGTTCCTTACACGTATTTGTAAAAGGACATCTAGCTTCTGAATAGGCTACCAAGAACATGTCCGACAAAGTAGCCACGATCCCTACCCCAGGCTCTGACTATGATCTCCTTTCCTATTCTGACCACGTCCTTCTGTTGCGCAGCATCGCCCCATCCTGGCGTCTGAGATCCAAAGCAGATCAAGTGAACGCCAACATGGATAACTGTGCGGTAAGCAAACTCATCACTCACGGCACCGTAGCCATCAGCAAATGCCCGAATGAGCCACTCCCCTGCAGTAATGTCCTTGTACAGCTTGAGTTGCCAAAGCTCAGCAATGGCCTGGCCGAGATCTAGAGGCCGAACACCAATCTGAACCATCTCCCAGTCAACAATACGAATGGGAGTGTGAGTGCCTTTTGCCAGAGGAGTGTCAGGGAGTAAGATACTGTTTGTAGTCAGCTGACCGCGGTCTCACGATAAGCAACACCAATACGAGGACTCACTTTCCGGTCCAGAAGTCACCATGAATGGGATACAAAGCTGATTCATCTGCAAGTTCCCCGGCAGCCAGATCACTGACACCCTGTAAAACGTCCCTTGCGTCGCCAAGGATCTCAGGGTGTCGATCCACCACCTGTAGCAACTGTTGGTAATTGATCATGTTCTTGAGACCCTGCATCTCCCTGTTCCCCGCAAACGTCTCTCGTAGGGCTGCTTGCTTAGGTTCTTGGCTCCAGCAGTGGAACGTGCGAAGCCAAGATCCAAGACCATGGCCGAGCTGCTCGCATTGCTCTTTAAGAGTTGCTGGTGTGGGGGCAGCGTAGTATTTGAGGGCATAGTCTTTCAGACTGAGAGCTTCTGAAAGATACTCTTGGACTTGAGTATTGCTATCTTGGTTGAAGTAATATGTCTCTGGAGTTGATATGCTACCCGATGGCGTCTCTGTTGGGGGTAGTCCAGCAAGATGGACAAGAGACTCATACTCGATAGCCTACAACGGTGGATGTCAGTCAGCGAAGCTTGCCTGCTTAGTGTTCTCAATATCGCACTCACACATCGAGAAGTTGCAATCTTGAACGCAGGATGGAGTGCAACATAGCCCTCGCCCTGCTTGATCACGACGCCGTTTTGATATTTGTCTTCACCTGATGGCTTCTCAAGAACAGCATGGTACATAAAGTTGGCAGTACCACCACTGAGCTTTCGTAGGCTTGAGGGAGCAAATGGGGTTCCTTTGAGGACTTGCTCTACTTTGGACCGAATTTCTTGTTCGGTATCTGTGGGAATGCTGTGTTGTTCGTGTAAAGACATGGTGAATCGAAGTGGGGGAATGGATGTGGAGTGATGAAAGTAAAACAGCCACAGGTGAAGAGGTATGGGTGATTATTGGTCGTGTTAGCGGTGTTGTAGGACACTGAGGATATCGCAGCGGTCCGAACAATTGATTGACTGGCTTCATATTGACTTAGTACTTATAACCAGGATCAACCAGAGCGTTTGTTTGCTTGAGAGGAAGTGAATATTTCCATTCCATGACTAGACTGACTAACCAGACTCGGCAAGTATCGAGCGCGTTTAGTCGATGGGCTGCATTCGCCGGTGACTCAATCAGTAGAAAAGAGTCATCGTCTTATGGCTCGCGATAGTGTTTCAGGGAACATACTGCCTTTTGCAACATCTGAAGTTGATTATCAATCCATTCTTCCACTTTCACCTGTTACACTTGGAAGCATTGAATTGATTAACAGCTCGTTCAACGAGTGTTTCGTCGTCATGAAACCTCCCCCATTGTAATTCTCCACCAGCAAGCGTCTATTCGGCTCGGAGCGAAACAGGGAGGGAACCTTGTCATACATGGATAGCATGAAACTCTCTGAATCTCAATATCTTAGCCGCTGGGCATTATGATGTAGTATGTATGGCATGGCATCATCTCATATTATGGACTCTTGTCGAAGCACCTTGTATCAGATTAAGCGATCGACCAGGTGGTCTTGGCCTGACCAGGCCGGGCCTCTATTATTATCTCTTACTTATATCAAGTCAGCCCGAGCAGTTTGTCACCAATCGAGATGGCAGTTCTTGGCTAGACGCTGCATATGCAGGCTGATGATGGACGCATGACATGAAAAGAGGACTAGAAACCCCCCCCAACAAAACGAGTTGCAAGAGCTGAAATCGTCAGATTCAGTCACAGAATAGGAACAAGCCACTTTCGTGATCGTTTTCGGCTGCGGAATGTGCGGACGGCCAGTATCGATTTGATCATCCACTCAAGATGACCAAGGAGACACTGCCCACTGTCATCTTTCACAAATAGTCAGTTTCTCTGCCTGGTGCTGGTGCTGGTGCTGGTGCTGGTGATGGAGGGTGGTAACGTCAGGCGATACGTAAGACTGATAGATTAGTAGCTAGTAGTAGGTAGCTTAAAAGTCTCAACGAGGCGTGCACACGTTTCTGTGCTGTACATATTTGTTCGAGGGCCTCGAACCTCCATGATGCTTCCGCCACCTGATGTAATCCCGTTCTGGAGGAAGAGGGATCAACAGGTAAAAGAACCTTAATCAGAGTGAACCCCTCTTTCATTCCTTGCTCCACCAAGTCCAATTCCGAATGCGAAAAGGTCTTGATTGACTGTTGATGGTGTCCATTTTCAAGTCCAAAGTACTAAGGTAGGCACCTACTATACCAACAGGCAAACCGTAACACGCTTACTTCTTCTTTGGCCACTTTATGTATATAAACTTCGTTTTCTATTAGTTTAGGTAGAAAAACAAAAGCTACCTAGGTACCTACTGAGGTGAACCTTTAACTCCGCATTGTTTTGGCCGCGAGCAGTGCATCTCAAAGAAAACACCAACTGATTCGACAACATCGCTTCTTCAAAACGCCTGAAACGCCTACGGGCAAACTCAACATGCAGGGCACCCGATACTTGGCACTCAACTAAAAATACCTGAGCCATCACTGCAATTTAGCGGCAGTTTCGCTTGTTGCGCCCTTGTACCGAAAAAGTACCGGGCCTGCAGATCTGCGACTTGGCTTATTGCTTAGCTCTGAGTTAGTTACGTCCCCCCGCTGGGCTTGCTCCCGTCTGGTCTGGTCTGCGACAATCTTCGTTCCTCTCCGTTGCCGCCGATCAAATCAAAACACCCTTTCCCTTTCTTCTCCTTTCTGTCTATATCCTTTCCTAAGCCGCAAATACCTTGCAAACGTCGTTCAAACCTTATACTCTTTCATAATTCCATCATCTCTCGTCCTTCTTTCTTTGTCTTTATCCTTCTCCTCCATCTGCAGCATCTGCCTGCATCCAATACCTACGCCCTGTGGCTACTGAATACTCCGGCATTTCATCACAACAATCAACAAACATCCAATCCGATCCGATCCCGAGCTAACACCACAACCACAAACTTCACTGCCACCACCAGTCCCAGACTCATCTCCTCAAGTCTCACCACCTGATCTCCGTATCAGCATAACGTTCCACGCCCGCAAACCCCATCGCCTCGACTTTCCACAAACTGCTACTCCTACAAGCATTATATCCTGGTTTCCAACCCCTGCTTGTAATCCCAGCCTTTCGACAATCGAGAGGCCCATCGTTTTCTCAAATTTTACAACGAAGCCTTTACTTCTTGTCTGCCATCAACTTCTAGACGCTTGTTCGGTCGACTACTCTGATTATTTCATTGCCGCGCAAACCTTCAAATCGAACGCTTACCCTTCTCCTTCACGAACCGTCAATGTTCGTGACATCACCACCACCATCATCATTCTCGTACTCGATACCGTTCGCTGAAACATAGTAAACAATGGCCGGAACTCTCGTTGAAAGGGCCGCGCATCCAGTCAATACGTCTTCTCTTGATACCAAACTCGTCGTCTCTGCTCGTCCTCGCAGCCAATCTCACCTTGAGGCTGCCTTTTCTCCTGTCAACAACGACGGTTGTTTTGACTTTGACCGCGTATTGAAGAGCGGCTATGTCCAGAAGCGCACGCAAAAGACAAAGGTTAGCATCTGCCGCCACTGATCCTTTTTGAAGCATCACGTCACGGCTTCCGGCTCTTGCCCAGTACTGACTCCTTTTCTAGAAATGGAAGCCTGTTTACCTTGTCTTGCGACCCAACACCCTCTCTTTGTACAAAAACGAGAGCGAGTCTCGACTACGACATCAGCTTTACTTATCCGAGCTTACAGCCGTCGCCGAATTGAAGGACCCCAAGCATAAGCGCGAGCATGTTTTTGGCCTCTTTTCCCCATCTCGCAACTACCACTTTCAAGCGAATTCCGCCGAAGATGCTCAGGAATGGATGGACTTGATCCGAAGGGATGCGCGTATCGATGAAGAGGAGGATGAGATGTTCCTTGCCAGCCCACGTGCCTCCCAACAGCCTGGCAATGGCATCAAGCCGGTTTCTATCAGCAACAACCGACCAAATGAGCATGAGCGCTTCCTTTCCAGCTCTCCGGAACCAATGGCATCATCTGCCCCCAGATATGTCACCTCGGCAGGGGGTAGGAGAAGGTCGTCGATACTAGAGTCTTCGGGACTATCGGGTGCGGAGTTCGCATCGCACTCCGACCTTTCCGACAATGAAGCTTTCCGTCCCCAGGACTCGTCCTACGATAGTTTGGCCGTTCAATCGCCTGGCAAGCTACCCCCAGCAGCTCGCCCATTAGGCCAAGGTATCCGATCCGCAAGCCAAACGAGCGTGTCTAATGTTGAGCAAGACCCCGACCGTGTCATATGGCAAGGCCGGCTCTACCTCTTGCGTCACCGACGTGGCATGCGCCAGTGGAAGGATATGTGGGCTGTTCTTCGCCCACGCAACCTCATTCTTTACAAGGACGAGTCTGAATACACAGCTCGGTGGATTTTACCGCTCTCCGCAGTCGTAAATGTTGTCGATCTGGACCCTCTCAGCAAGAGCAAGAAGCATTGCCTTCAGGTTATCACTGAAGAAAAGAGCTACCGCTTCTGCGCTCACGATGAAGATGCCCTTGTTCGCTGCATTGGCGCTTTCAAGAGTTTGCTTGCTAAACGTCGCGAACTTGAGGCTCGCGCTGCCGCGACAGCCACATGACCTAAGCGCGAAATAGACCTCATGGGATCTAGGCCTCGTGAGACCCAATGGTGTAAATGCACCCAAGATGAATCATGATGATTGACGTTTTCTTTGTCGGTTTTCTTTGTCACGCGACAGCGGCCGTGCTGTTTTCTTTGTATTTCTTGGTCATTGTTCATGGCGAATACGTTACTTGATAGAAGAGAGAAAAGAAAGAAAAGAGGAGGGAAGCTTCTTAACGAGTTGTATATGTTTCTCAGCGTCTGCTCATTTAGCGAAAGCCTCCTATTTTGTTGTGTACATAAAACATGATATCCGTGGTACTTAGGACCATCCTGTAGAAACCTTCCATACTCATCCAATATTCTTAAGTCGAGAACATCATTGTGAGCTTGACCCAAAACCCAAACACCTGTCCATCCATGTCTACCGATGCATTCTGAGCCATTACAAAACGCCGAAAACAAAATCAAATCGAAAATCGAGGATGCCAAGCTTTTTATACACAAACATTATCGTTGACCTTGATTGTGCCATGTTGACAACTGCTGATATAGCTTTGCCTGGTTTGTCTGGGTATTGGCCAAGATAAAGCGATCTTGGCATGAATCCAAATAAGTAACTGGACAATGAGTGTCGGAGTCCAGATGGCCGAGTTTCGTCGACGATGTGCGCAACAACTATATGCGAACACAAAAAAAAACAAAAAAACACTACTGGATCTTTGGTGCGGAGCGGCTTTGTGCGCAAGATCGCTATATATTCTCAAGGAGAAAGGTATCGTCAAATGCGCCATAGTTTAGGTTGTCATCGTCCCGGTCGTTCATGAGGGATTCAAAAGTAATGTCGTCGGTTCCATCGGCGAGACCGTCGCCTGTGCCGAGACCACCAAAAATCTCGTCATCAAAAACAGAATCATAATTATTGTTTGACATTTCCTGTGAGGCTCCCAGATTGTCTGTATCCATTGGCAGATCTTGTTTGGGTGCGTTATCGACAGATCCAGCAGGCAGTTGCGAGATACCATTTGTCTGAGAAGTGTTGTTGGTGGGCAGGATGTCGTCCAGACCTAGTATATCATCATTACCCTCCGGGGGAGCAAAAGTTGCGAGGTCAAAAGAAGGTTCCTGAGAATTAGAAGGGTTCTGCGAGTCGTTGTTTGTCGGAGCCAGCGTGAACTGCATATTTGTAAAGTTGAGTTCTGAATGTGACCCGTCGCCAGTAAGGTCTGTCACGTTATTGTTTTGGTTGTCCACACGCTTTTGCTCCATGATCGGCACAGGAGCCATCGGAGCGGTGGCAGCTGGGGCTGAAGTCGGGGCAGTAGGAGAAATTGTCTTGGAGTTGGTCTGTTCAGGTCCAGTACTTGGAACTACAGATGGTGTGGTCTCATCACTCGGCACACTGATAGTTTGGCCGACATCGGGAAGCCCCATGCCCATGTCAGGAAAGGGGGCGACTGGTTTGTTGGTCTTGATCTCTGTCATATGCTGATCCTGAGGGGGAGGGGGAGGGGATGATTCAAGGTCAATGACCATGGGAGATTTGGACTGAGATTCAACTGGTTGAGGTTGTGGGGGTTGGGATATGAGAGTAGGTTGACTTTGCTGGCTCTGCTGGCTCTGCTGCTGTTTCTGTTCTTGTAGACGCTTGATATCACGCATGAGAACAGACTTGGCATCGATCTAAGATAATGTGAGTTTTGAGTCGTTGAGGCGATGCTCGAGGCGACTTACAATATCCCACTCGAGCTTGTGTAAGGCTTCCCGGAAACCGTCAATAGACTCGGGCAGCTTGGACTTGAGGGTTGACTGGGTAGACTGCGTACTCCCTTGGGCATCCTTTCGGGAAGCTCTGAGGGCCTTTCCAGTATGTACCAGCTGTAACGAGGCGTCAGAAACTTGGTCAAGCCATTATAAGGATGGAGGTGACACTTACGACATCGTTGACCATATTCTGCAAGACATCGAGCGGGTCCGGCTCCTGATGAGGTTGGGAAGCCATGGCCGTGCCAGGCGACAGTTCTGGTATTCTGGTAGATACTGAGAAGCCGTTCAAGCAAACTATGAGAAGTTATGTAAGTTTAGCTTCAAAGGACGGTCAGATAATTCTCGTCGTTGCTGAATAAAGCCAGGGAGAGCCCAAGAGGTGCACTCCTTGCTGGACCCAGTTCAGCCCCCCAGGTTAAGTGTTAGGCGCGTCCAGGAACGACATCACGTGCACCTCACTAGAGGTAGCTTAAGGGTCGAGTTGGATGGATTCACTGACAAGGACAACAACAGTGAGCAACCAACCAAAAGACTGGCTGACAATTGAAAGTTGTTAGATTCGCATCTTTTTATTCTTGCCTATCTTAAGTACCCAGGTAAATTCTGGGAGCCGCTGAGGGCCTGGCAGTTTGTGCATGAACCATATGATTGAGAACTTTCAACGTTGGAGTCTTGATTGGTTGTTCCTGGGCTATCTATACCACCACTTACACCTTTGCCCTCCTGTCATGCCCTCTGGGTTTTGCAAAGCTCAACGTTGCTTTCATTCTTGGTCTCCAGCTAAGCCTGCCTTTGACACCATGATATAAACTTTATACCCCTCAAGTATCCAATTCCAGGGGAATATGCCAATGCTCTATCATGCCAATAGGTACTAAAACCTATGTATGTATGTTATTAACATGCACTCCCCTCCACCATCTGTTGCAAGGATATCCTATGCCAATGTAATCATGTGTGATGACTTATGTGACATGATACAAGCTACCTACCTACTTGATGTCCCAGCTCAGCCTATGCAAACTCTTTTCCCGCTTCTCCAAGGTCCAATGCAGTATGTTCGGTTCTATCCCATTCCCCTCTTCCTTCATTCTCAACCCTGACACTTTGGTCGAATCAGGCGTCTAGAAGAACAGACAACCAATCGCTGATCAATATACCAGCATGGTCTGTTGGGCTTCGATAGTCGGTAAGGGAAAGCAAGTACCTTACCTTACCTTAGAACCTTAGTAGGTACGTAGTAGCTAGGTGAGGAAAGAAAACTCAGGATCTTGATCCTAAATAACAAAAGGATCTAGGTAATATAGCCTAAGCTTCGGGTGACTTTTGCTGAGTTTATTTTGACATCCCATATCAAGGTCTGATGTTTTCTTGCCCCGAGGCCTTGGTACCGGCCAACCCGTGTGCCTTACCTCACTCACTGTATGATGAACTGTGCAGTGAGAGAGGTACAGGGCGATATGTAAGGCTATGTATGCCCCTCCATCATCCGCTACTCGTCAGCTTCTTCCTTTACTTCTCTCCTCTCAAGCATTCATAGTCATAATATCGTTGGAGTGGTCCTTGTATCAGGTTTCCTTTGGGCTTTTACGGTTCCTCCGTTCAATTTCCTTTCATATCATCAACTTTCGCCATCATCTCGCGCTGCTTCTCTACCATAGTTAGCTCTCTTCTGTTCCGCTATCTCCTCTCTTGTTGCTCTCAACTTATCTCTTTATTCGAGTCGGTTTCTGCCTTTTCTACGTGTCTTTGCTGGTCTTCGATTCTCGTGCGCGCCAGGCTACGGGGAAACACCATCTGCACGCCTTCTTTCAGCCTGTCGACCAGCTCTCATCTCCATCAAATTAAACCCCCCCACGTCTCACAACCGGCCACGATCAAGCCAAGGCCGCCGTCTCGTTCCGCTCCTGTGTTACAGTGCCAAACCGCCCGCCCGCAACAATTCGATCGCTCCTCTCCGAAAGCTTGCGCCTTCGTTCGCGTTGCTGTCAACCGCTTTTTGGAGATCTCAGACGTTGGAGTTTCCACTGCAGCCTCCCACCCCAGTCCCAAAGCTTTCGTCTGGACCCCGTTGTCAGACCAGACCCAGACGCGGGCCCCCCTCTCTCTCCTTGTGCCCACCCGTGTCACTCTTAGCTCCGGGTTGCCTACTCGTCCAGTTGGACCCCTGTCCTGTCAAACGCTAGGAGGCACAGGTACATATTGTCACCGACCGCCGACTCTCCACCTCGACCGACCGACTTCAGTACAACGCAGCTCATAGGTAGCCTCCAATTCCTCTTCTACCTCTGCTCTGTCGTCCTATCCTTCCGCTACTCATCCTTCTTGATCATCACCCCAGACACGATATCATACAACATGGCCGATTCTGGAACGCCCTCAAACCCAGGCCAGCTGCCTCCCCCCCCTCAGGCCGGTGCTGGCGCCCCTGGCTTCGAAGCTGGCCAGAATGGACAGCCTATGGCCCCTCCGCCTCTGCATATCCCTCAGAATACCAACCCGATCCCGACTGCCATCACCTCCCCCAGATCCGCTGCCGATCAAGGAGGCATCATGTCGCCTACCAGTGCAGGTGGCTTCCGGCGTGCTGCCCCTGAACCCAACAAGCGTGCCCTCTACATTGGTGGTTTGGACCAGCGTGTAACTGAGGAAGTCTTGCGTCAGATCTTCGAGACTACGGGTCATGTTCAGAACGTCAAGATCATTCCCGACAAGAATGTAGGTCTCGCTACAACCTTAAGAAATTTCGCGGATGTGGTATGGTGGGCTAACAATGCTTCACAGGCGCGTGGTTATAACTATGGCTTTGTCGAGTATGATGACCCTGGTGCCGCTGAGCGTGCTATGCAGACCCTCAATGGACGACGAGTTCACCAATCGGTACATTGCCCCTCAGCGAAATCCAACAACATCTCGAACGTCGGCCGCTAACCGTAGCTTAGGAAATCCGAGTCAACTGGGCCTATCAGTCGAACACCACAAACAAGGAGGACACCTCGAACCATTTCCACATCTTTGTCGGTGATTTGTCTAACGAAGTCAACGATGAGGTCCTCCTTCAAGCTTTCTCTGCTTTTGGTTCCGTCTCAGAGGCTCGTGTCATGTGGGATATGAAGACCGGCCGATCTCGAGGTTACGGCTTTGTTGCCTTCCGCGACCGCCCTGAGGCCGAAAAGGCTCTGAGCTCCATGGACGGCGAGTGGCTCGGCTCGCGAGCCATTCGATGCAACTGGGCAAACCAGAAGGGCCAACCTTCAATGGCCCAGCAGCAAGCTATGCAGGCGATGGGCATGACGCCTACCACCCCTTACGGGCACCACCAATTCCCAGCACATGGCGTCGCTAGTTACGAGGTTATTCTGACTCAAACTCCCAGCTGGCAGACAACTGTCTATGTCGGCAACCTTACTCCTTACACAACTCCCAACGATGTGGTCCCTCTGTTCCAGAACTTCGGGTTCGTTGTTGAGTCTCGCTTCCAGGCTGATCGAGGTTTTGCTTTCATTAAGATGGATACCCACGAGAACGCGGCCATGGCGATCTGCCAGATGAACGGGTATAACGTTAACGGAAGGCCTCTCAAGTGCAGTGTATGTTTTACCTGTGTTGCGATTGAGAGATGGCAGCTGACAATTGACCACAGTGGGGCAAGGACAAGACGCCCAGTGCTCAAGGAGCCTTTGACCCTGCTCAGCCTTACAGCCCACAGAGTGCTCAAGCTCCTGCCTTCCCAGGTACGCCTACGTACTATCCTCAGTACGGCGGTAAGTTAAATGCCAGCAAAGCTTGATCGTAGTAGTAGCTGACAATGACTTAGCCCAGTACGGTGGACAGCCTGGAAACTATGGTGGACCACAGACTGGATCACCGGCCGGCTATGCTGGATCCCCTATGGGGTATGCTGCTCCTCAAAGCGCGGGCGGCTACGGCAGGGGCCAACAGCCCCCCAATGCTGAATGGGCCCAGCCTCGCCCTGGACAGAACTTCAACAATGGATTTGGTGGTTATCAGGCCTAGGGGGCAACAACCAAACCAGAGCAAGACAACCCAAAAAGCTGGACGAAAGCTGGACATGGTGGTATCAGGGCGGAGGTGTCTACCACTTGATCATGCCTCGGGACGGGTTTCTCTTTGTCCGCTTTTCATGATTCCCCTTTCTTCCTTCACGCCTTTCTATGGATTTCCCTCTTGTGCTTGCTTCTGTTGCTTCCATTGCTCTTTTCTCAGTATCTTCAAGCATTATTACAGTTCAGGCCTGTGATACCCCAGTTCCGTGTTATGGGGGAAAAGAGGAAACTTTCCTCTTGCTTACAAACGGATGTATGGCATTTCGCTCTTCTCTTCTCTTCTATTCCTGTTTCGTCGATAAAAGTCAGGGACCGCCATATGTTTCTCAAATCTCTCTCAATCTCAATCTCTTTCTGTACGAGCGCTAATTCTAGGATACCACCAACATTTCTTCACCTTGACTTTGTTGTAATTAGTCAGGAGCCAGTCTGGCATTTCAAAATTCCCTATCTGACGACGTCATGAGCGTTTCATCCATTCCTGTGTCTCATGGAGCATCTGATTGATATTTCAGTGGCTGGCGAAGGGGGTGGCAGTTCCATTCCATGGATTCTCATCTATGTATTTAGCGGCGACCTTTTTCTTTCTTAACGGGACATTTTCTTCTTTCTCCTTTTTTCATTAATAATTCTCGCGCACGATATGATGGAACAATGACTTGACGACTCTGTAAGATTGATGACAAAAGGTGAGGAAGTGGAAGATGTTGGGGATACGCAAGTTGGGGGCGTCGGCGAATGTTACTCGAGATGCACAGGATTCTCGAACAAAATTAGGTGGCAAGATGGCGGCAGTTGATGAAGTGGATGAATAAAATAACAAGACTTTCTCGCTCAACTATCGGTCGTGGTACCCTCGGCTTTTCTCTGATCAATTGGACAATGGCGTATGGGTGACACCACAATCGAGCCGTTCTGCCAAGACGTTGGCAGCCTTCAAAGTTCCCATCTCGATAATGATGCCCAAGCTGAGAAGTGAGGTTTCTACATATGAACTGGCATAGCAACGGGTCTACGGAGTACGTGTTAGATATTTGGCACCAGTGAACCCCAGTAAAGGCGTAAATAGACACAGGAGGCACGTAGGTTCAGATTGGATGGATGGCAAGCCCATGAAACGCCAACGAAATAAACGGGGCAGAAGAGGCTCTGGGATTTGATACCTACAGGCTACCGTCTTGTCCTACCAGATACGGTGAGAAGGGCCGGGAGCCGTTTATTAGAAAGTGAAACTTGATTTTTATTCCGTGGTAACTCCCCAGGACCCTGAAAAGGACGTCATTTTTGACATGGCGGATCAACTGGCTAACTAACATCCATCTATGGCATGGGTAGTAATACGGATATTGGACTGTAGATTATGACAGATCCCATGTTAATGATGATAACATACATAGGTACTGACGCAAGTCGAGGATACTGCCAATGATGGTATATTTATATTGGGAAATCGAGGTCGTAAGCTGACCGACTGAGGTAGGCATCAATCAATGGATGGCTATTTCCGGGGGTATATGTGTTGTGTGTCACTCGTGTCAGCGATAGAGTCATAACCTTAAGCTTTCATATGTAGTAGCACAGAATACCTAGCAGAGAAGGGCTGATAACGACCCCGCTGATCAGAGGCAACAAGATACTGCATGTACTGTTAAAAAGTACCCTTATTTTGCCACGTTATAAATCGGATCAACTCTGATTGCGCGTAGAACGGAAGAATGTGTGCATCGTTGAGTAAAAGTCAGTGGTGATTTGACAGTCGATAGAGGGGGATCAACACAGCCTGTCCACTGTGGTGTACCCCCTTATTGTTGTGGCAGGATAGAGCAGCTAGAGCCGACTGAAACCAGCCTTCTCGCTCGTGTACCACCGGCCTTCAGTGCCTTGCCCAGGTACCAAGGTTGGTAGCAGTAATAGTGGTGGGCTTCTTTTTGACTTTATGCTGTTGGCTGGCGAGAGATGAAGTGAATAAACTTGGGAGTCCGTAAAGAGGAATCAAGGTCAACAAGATTTCTACAGGCACTCACTTGGTCCAATGTGAATCCGTAACTCAACTGTCAGTTCTTTTGTTTTACTGCAATGAAAGTTTTATATCCGTAGCCTTCAGTTGCTGCAAAGGATGTTTCAGCGTCTGCCCTCGGCTCGTAACTCGTGTTGATGTGAGCAACCAAGGACAACAGCATGAAAGTTAAATCATGCGCAATCAAGGCATTGATCTAACTATCTAACATTTATGTGTTGGTAAAATGCGCTGAATTCTAATAGACTTGCAACTGAGAAGATGCTAAGGTAAGGTACTACCTACTAAGGTACCTAGGTACTTTAGGTACCTTAGTAAGGTAGGTAGGTAAGGTAAGGTAGGTACTAAGTCAATGGGATTTGATAATATCTCGCTGAGGCAGGTGGGCTTATTACAGCCCAATTGAGGTGATATCAACCTTCTTGACTCTTGCCCTCTCTTATTCCTCTGGCATCCATCAACCTACACACAGTCCCCAACCCAACCTCCCTCCCACATCAACTCACCATCCATATAATGAATGGCTTCATTCAGCAACGCTCTTAAGACTAGAATCTAGAGCATCCCTTCCTATACAGCAAACTTCCTCCTCATTTTCCTTACCTTCTTAATTCTCGCTTCAACGCTTGAGTCCTCTGACGTACCAATACCTACCATCTACAGATACTTTAATTGACCTTGTTTTGCTTGACCTGGCTGCCCATATCCACCCCCAGGGCCTTGGCTTGGGCCTCCACTGTCTGCCCAATACGCCCTGCCCCCTCATCTCTCTTTACGGTACGGTACGAGACGACGGCACGATATTCTGAGAGCCTGGCGTGTCCATTGTTGCTCTTCTCAATACACACGCTGTAGCTGCTCTTAGTTCTATTAGGACGGCCTGGGTTAGTCTGTTCTCCCGCAATTTTGCCTAACCCGTTCCTACAGGACAGGACCTGCGCAACGAGACCCAACACGATCCATCTCCAACTTGGTGAGCGCACACTGCACCCGGCCCAACCAGCAACCAGCAACCAGCTGCCAGCCAACCATCACATCCCATCCATTTTCTCCGTGCTCTCTGCATTGGATTGTAGCTAGCAGCTAGCAACTCGACGCTACACTACACCATCCAGACCCTTCTCCTCTTACTCTCATTTTTCTCACTCCCATCCTTCGTCCTCCCCCCGTCGTTGGGATCTCATCGACCGTCGACATCATCGTCTACGCCAGATAACCACGCATTACGCATCTCCACTCGCGACAACCACCACCACAACAACGATTTCACTGCTGAACACCGACCGCCTCTACTTAATCGCGGCGATCAACCTGACGCTGTCGCCATAAGCTGCTCGATTCAGCTTCCGCACAAGTCAGTCAGCGCAATGGATCCTCAGTGGCAGCAATATCCCTCCGCGAACTCGCCTGGCTCCTCGAGACGACACAACGGCAATACCCAAGCCCCTCGAGACTACACCAACCAGCCCCCGCCTCAAGGCGGATACAAATACGACCAGTTCCACGGCGGCGCCCCCGTCCATTCTGCTGCTCCGCCTGCTTCTGCTCCTGTTGGTAACCCCAACTCAGCCGCATCTCCAATCTCACCTTCGCAGATACGCGACGGCAACGGTGACGTCGCTATGCACGATGCTCATGATGCTCATGCTGGTATCAAGTACCCCATGAGGCCCCTTCATCAAGCTCACATGTCGGGCAGCCGCCCTGCCAACCTCCACTCACCTCAAGAGTCTTCTTCCGTCGCTCAACGATACTCGCCCATGGAAGCCCTGTCCCCCACTTCCCCTTACGCGCCCAAGTCGGCTTCAAACAGCCAATTCACAAGCCCGACCTCCCAGCGACAGTCGCCTACACGCCAGCCTGATTATTCTCAATCTCCATATTTCCCCGGCGCCCGCCAACACCAGCAAAGCCAGCACCTTCCTCCTATCAACCCTTACGCGTCCGCCAGTCAACAGGAAAATTATCCCTCTTCCGCTGTCGGCAATCTCGATGCTGCTTTTAACCTGGACCCCAAGTCTCCGAGACGGCCTGTGCCCCAGCAAGTGACAAGGGGCCCAGTACCCGAGTTCAAGCAACTCTCCTCGCCCGCAGATCTGCAACCCAAGGTCAATTCACAGCCTGCGTTCCGTCGCGCCAACCCTGAAGGCGGTTTCATCAGCGTATGTTTTCAAGCCTCTATAGCTTTCCAGACAATTTTACTCACGATATGATCAGCCTCTCCAAGCTCTCACTGTTCAATTACCTGCCACTTATCGCATCTGTAACCCTAGCTTCAAATATGAGTCGTCGCGCAATCCTCGCAGAGTCTTGACCAAGCCCAGCAAGGGCACCAAGAACGATGGCTATGACAACGAAGACAGTGACTATATCCTCTACGTCAACGACATTCTTGGATCTGAAGAGGCCGGCCACAAGTATGTTGTGTAAAGTTGAAGTATGTCGCTTGTGATTCTAACATACTCTCTAGAAACCGTTACCTCATTCTGGATGTCTTGGGTCAGGGTACTTTTGGGCAAGTCGTGAAATGTCAGAATCTCAAGACACAAGAAGTAGTGGCTGTCAAGGTCATCAAGAATCGTACTGCCTACTTCAATCAGAGCATGATGGAGGTTTCGGTCCTCGATTTGGTACGGCCATCAATTCCATACTTCAAAGGTTGGCACTAACAAGAAGTAGCTCAACACGAAACTTGACAAGAACGACGACCACCATTTATTGCGGCTTAAAGACACTTTCATTCATCGCCAACATCTCTGCTTGGTCTTTGAGCTCCTTAGCGTCAATCTTTACGAGCTTATCAAACAGAACCAGTTTAGAGGACTCAGCACTACTTTGGTTCGCGTGTTTGCCCAACAGCTTCTCAACGGTCTCGCACTGCTTAACAAGGCTCGTCTGATACATTGCGATTTGAAGCCTGAGAACATTCTTCT